AAACTTTCACCTCTCTAGTTTTTTCCACGCCGAAGTCATCCATTAAAGATCGATATTTTTAACGACAAATGAGATACGTTGATAATCAGGCTCGTACAAATGTTCTCCGCGTTTCTCGTCGATGTGTTTTGCAGCTTGTTCGGTTCTAACGAGTCGATATTGTTGTTTCTTAAATTCGTTAGTTTCATGTTTCATGCTTCGTCCGAAAAAGTAGTCGATACGAGAAAATCTCAAGAGCCATTTCGAAACTGATAGAAACTCTGATGGAATTATCGTAAAGGCTTTCCATGAAGACAAGAAGCGAAGTGTTTAATCGGCAGCGTTGATCGTTTAAAAAATGGCAGGAGTGCGTCGATCGAAAGGTGAAAATTGCCGCTTAACAGTTAATTGCCAGTTCTTCGGAGTGGGTTATTTAGCAACGATTACCTACAATTAAAAACTTCTGGCCGACACACTTTTAACACACTTGGAAAATATCCTGTTTATTGTTCGCTCGTTCGAGGGTTATGCACAATAGGGTGGCCGTATCATCGAAACAGCATGAAATTGAACGTTTACACTTGCAATTAAGCATACAATAGTTTCTAACTCCTCGTTCGCGTTGCAGGTACACACTCAAGTTCCGTGCTTGGACAATGGACATAATTGCGAATTTTCTTCCTGCGTTTATCCCTTCAACGATTGAGAATCTCGAGGAGAATGAGCATACTTTAATTTCATTTTCAGGTCGAAGGAATCCGACCTGAAATCTAGTCAAACAAACCAAACGTTCCAATGGCGTGATTTGTGATCGCGTTGCGATTTCCTCGCGTGGAATCTCCGTCATTCGAGAAGAGGATATTATCTTACCGGTGAATCCATACCTAAGTCGGTATTATTAGACAAACCCAGTGCCGTAGAGAGTGACCATTAGACGTTGTAAGGGTTCGAAATGCGGGAAGGTATCCACCTTTTCCTGCGTCGGCGTCGCGGTGACTGGCCACAATAAAGTCCCTGATTTCCGAGCGTTCTACGACCGTTTCGCACGCAATTACACGATCTGTCTTTTATACAGAGTGTACTCTCAGCGCTGAAGACCGAGCAGAGTCAGCCTTCCAGAGATTAACTCGAAGACACTCTTAACGTTCAACCGTTTCCGAAGGTCTTCGCGCTTCGGAAAAACAGGCCCGACTGGTCTTCGTGTCACCTACGCAGCCTCGATACGATCTTGGTAATTTGTAACGAGAGTAATTCCACAGATTTCTTTTTCCTTTGGCTCGTATTCGTCGAATCAACTCATCAAAAGTCGTTTCACTTCCAGATTAAGAGATCAACTCGTCTTCTCGTTGACTGGTAGTTCAGCCCTGTATTTTACTGTACGAATCGCACTTGATTTGGCTACTAGGAAGCAGATGCGCCAAGAATTCCGACTATTTGCCTAAGCGATGAAATCTTAACGTCCTCGAGGTGACGCCATGACGCAACCAAGATCGCGACGAAAGAAAGCGCGAAGGCGTTCAAGCGTTGCACATGCACGTGTAAAAATGTTAGTCTGCATTGTCTCACGTGTAACTACACGTAGATGTTGCATGCACTCGCGTACGAGAGACGGAGGTGGATAGACACGGGAGAGGTTCGTGCGCTACGTTGGTACTTAGTCGATCTGGGACTAGACTACGATCAAATTACACATTTTTCAATCGGATTTCGCTTGAATAAGTAGGTACACTTCTTACGACTAATTAACTATCGGTCCATCTTTTACTTAATTATCGTAATCATCGATCGCGCTATGGTATATAACGAGACGGAACGTTGCCATACGTCGATTACATTTAAGGCAACGTCGAAAGCATTAATTAGAAGATCATCGAGGGAAATGTTGCGTCAAAGGAATTCACGTTACGGCTCGCGCGATCGATACGCAAAGTTCTTGTCACAACTCCGCGAATTTTAAAAGCAATTGCGAGCAATGCGAGTAGTTGAAACATTGGAAGACATAATCTGCCATTATTAATTCTGGCGAGACGACTAATTAAAGGTCATAGACTCTTCGATGCACTGGGTCAACGAACGAGATGACCGCTCCTTTTAAACCGAAGTACACCTCGTTCTCTTAACCCTTTGTTACATAATATTATTAGATAATCGATGGCTTGAAAATTCCTTCCACGTGCGAATAACACCCTCGGACCGTGTAGCATTTTCGCGAGCGATCGACGTGGAAAAAATAACGAACGATCGACGATGTGCTAATAGAGCGTGCTGAATTTCGGTTTCTACCAAACGTCTGGTATGCATAGATAATGCAGAAAAGTTGCGCAAGGTTTCCTGTCGATTACGATCAAGGTGAAAGTCTTCGGGCTCGACAGAGCGAAACGTTATCAAGAGGTGAACCTCGTAAATTATAAGCAATGTCGTTGTAGAATGTCCCTTAACAACGTCTACGAAGCCTTTTCTAGTGTGAGGATAACCGCGGTCGCCCCAGAGTCGTATCATTCGTCATCGTTCTTCGTTCAGATTGTTTATGAATTCATTGCGATTATGTAATTTTTCGTAGCGCGATTAGTGAAGCTAAATAAAAGTTTCATTAACAGAACTTACATAAACATGATGGTATTTACGGAGAGAGATACTCTCTTTTTTTCTTACTTACCGCGATGAATCCGAACCGGTATGGTAATTAAATGGAAAATTGCGACGATGGCCCAATGTCTCCCAGGATTATGTCATTTGCGCAGAAGCAGAGCCAGCGAAGTCGACCTGGGTGAACGCAGAGGCTCCTCCTGAGGACTTCACTCTGGCCCCGGGGTGAATCAGTCCTTTGTGCCTGGCTCTCTCAGGGTCAACCGCTTTCGGTGCAGTATATCCCTGCAACGTTTACACATATATGCTCAAACACGTTCGTTCGTCTGACCGTAGCCTACACGGTGTCTCGGAAGTCCCGAAGACGGACTACCGCTAGATACCACCCGGTTAGTTCGTTACGATGCTATCACAGCCAGCGTTCGAGTTCCTGTGCTGTTAAACTAACTTAAAAATTTCTTAAACAGAAGATGTAGAGTATCAATTATCTTGTCAAATTGTCACAGTACTATGTAAAACTCTATAAATATAAACACGGCTGAAACCTAGCAACAGCGATCAGGGTGAATTCGAGGAGGTTGATTTCGCTAGATCATTTTTATTAGAACCCGAAATTTAATTTACGTTTGGCTCTCGGATGGTATTAATAAAAGGATATCCAACAGAGACGAAGATTATTCCGTCTGTAGCCAGCTTTTTAGGAGCCGCGGTTTAGCCTGCTTTATTTCTTGTCTCGAATCTTTTTATTGGTGCGACGTTCCAGCAAAATCGAGGTAAAAAACCGAAGAGGACCGTGACTCCCGCAAAAGGGCGGTGGGAGGTTCGCAGAAAACGAACGTTTGCGAAGAAGGGATATGGAGGAATTAGGCAAACGACCATGAGAGACAAAATTCACTAAGAAACGTCAAGATAACCTTATAGATAAAGTAAAACAAACACATTGATCTAAAAACGAAATTAAAATTCATCTCTATTACATGTTCCCAAATTGTTGTACAAAACGTATGAACTATCTTGACCTTTTCACGAACGCGTTATATTAGATTTCACACAATTAATAAAGGATGCCAAGAGCATGTTTCGGAAGACCAACGCGGAGTAGGAAAGAATATCGAAAAGGAACGCGGACAGGATGTCTCACGGTTCTCACGTCCGTCTTGCTCGAAGATTCGAACTCGCTTCACCACTGACGTCATACGCCCGAAGTGACGCTAGAGTCTGCAATCGTAGCGTGTGCCCCTTGCGGATGTGCGGTTTCGTGTCACGACAGTCTAACGATCTAACATGGCCAAAGTTCGAATAAAAGATTGCGAATGGAAAGATCGCACAGTTATGTAAATAACGTTTCATGTATTCCAGCGACTAATGGATAAACAGTTTCTGAGTAAACACAGGAAACAACTCGCAAGGATACATTAACAAAAAATCTTGAACCACTTAGACATAGAGAATTGCTTCAGGAAGCGAAGTTGAGTCTAACAATGAGTTTTAATGCAACTAATTTACATTTGACTCTATTTTGGGATCGAATTCTTTAATAACTCGTCCGTGTTCCAGCAAAGACTAAGAAGCACACGGTCGTTTGCATTTAGAAATCATTATCGAGCGATCTCCGCGTGAATATGCGTAGCTCATCAAAAAATCAAGAGAATTAATTGGAGTGCAGCACAGACACCGTGACCAAAGCATGCCGGTGTAATTAGCATTGCGTTCTAACTACGCACACCGCGATTACACGTGTGCGATAATAATAACCGCGATTCCACGATTAACATAACGATCAGTGATAAGGACACACAATACACGTACACGTTCGCTGATACGATACAGAGCAGCGAGGACTTAACCTAGCGAAGATGTTTCATCATTTTTTTACTCAATCCTGAACGAAAAGTATATCTTTGTAAAAAAAAAAAAAATAAAGAAAAACATAGGAAACTCGTTTGTTTTTCTTTCTCGTTGATTGATTGCGTGCTGGATTTCCGGATCACGGCACAGTCGGCTCACCTATAGAAAAATCATATCGACTTACGTCCAGTTTCACCAACGATAAATTACACACCGCGCGAAATCGGTCACTGAAAACTTAGCCAATCGTCAACGAAACAGAAACTTCGGGACGTGTTTCCAATATCGTCGAACACAGTAGTCGAAGAATAGAAAACTGCGTCGAGCCGTATGATAATGTAGCAGGTTTCCCTTGTAGAAAAAGTGAAACTGACGTTCCACGTATGAAAATATCGCTGCCTCGACCTTTGCGTTCGTTTAATTCTTTCATTACAGTGTTCGCTAAATCGAATCGAGTATTATTCAGTAATAGCTGGTTGCTCTTTTATATGGTACGATTGAATGAAAGGAGGATTGCATATCGTCACCATTCGATTTACCCATAATGGTTGTTTTGCAACTTTAACGGAATCCTGTTTCTGTCGCAGAATCGAGACGCATGAGAGTCGATACCGGGTTGACGTTATCAGGTGAGGGCCAAGCAGCTTCCGGCGACGCAATCGAGAGACGTCAATGGCCGATGGTATGGACAATCCGGCGTTCACCGGCGACGAAGACGGCGCCGCCGACGCGAAGGTGGACGATGGCCAGCAGCAAGTGATCTTGGACCAGGATCCCAAGCCAGCGTCGGAGAGCACGCCGATGGAAAATGGCCATCAACGCTCGTTTGTCTCGCAACACTACGTGGAACCCGGAAGAACCAGTCCGGATCCGCATTATAAAACCGAGAGAAAAATCGAGGTGCCCGAGGGCAACGATAAGACCGTCGTCGAACCCAAGCTAAACGGCATCCATGGAAATGGAAACAATAACGACGCCAGCTTCCTCAACAACAGTGCGACGAGCGTCCAGACGAACGGTAACCAATTTCTTCCTTTACAATTTATTAATATAGCGTTATCCGTAGATAAAGCCTGTATCGTTCCACAAACGTGGCAGTTAACCCGTAATAAACGACGTGTATTTCTTTTTCGTCTTGGTCAATCTTATAACATGTCGCGAGTAATCGTTTAAAGAACGTAGGCAGCCAGAAAAAAGAACGAAAACGCTGCGGTTTACGTAAGCTGAGACCGCAGACTTTTGCACTGTCGGTCACAGAGGAAATTCCTCGGGGCAAAAAACCGATGCGGCGGTCGCCATTTGTTGTATTTTTCTTCTCTTCGATCTTTCTCTCGCAAGAGAGAAGAGAGAGACTCGAGTGCAATTTGTGTGATGTAAAACATAATTGCAACTGGATTTTCTGTCTTGAGATCGACGACGGACTGAGACAATTGGTAGGGACGAATTGTGTAAATTCTCTTCGTTTACATTTATAATACACACGCGTCGAGCATCGAGAACACTTCTGTTGTCATCACGGTCGAAAATATAATAACGCGGAATAGTCATTATACGTACGATTTTACGAGATATAATTGGGACGAGCCGAACTTTCGATTGTTAATTACTACCACCACCGCTTTGCCAAGAAAAAGTCGTTCGAGGTCGGTGAAACGCAGAAAGCATGTAGCCGGTCCTCCACGCAATAATCAACCTTAAAAAATACTTTTACGTTCGTAATAATAGACGATTCGTTAAACGACCACCGAATAGCGTATTAATTCATCCGAGGAACGAGGTATCCTTTTACTCACGACCGAAAAACAGAAACCGGTTACGCGCCTCTTGCTAGCGACATTGACAAGCTTATTAAAGCATTTCCCGTTTTTCACAGACACCGGAAAGAAGGAGCAAATCGAGGCTGTGAACCTGGAACTGGTCTCGATGAGGCCTTACGCAGGCAACAACCTTCAAAAGGGCCAAGAAGCCTGCGAGGTTCCAGCTGACCCATACGAAGAGTACTTTGTGCCGGTAAATGAGCATCGGAAGTACATAAGGTAACGAACCGATCGCTTAAAAACACTTACAACTCTGCCTAAACGCGTGTCTGTTCTTCTTGGTTACTGTTTAACAATTTAATTAACTGTCGACTGTTCACCAGCCCGGCGGGTTTTAACATAGAATCACTTGGGGGTTTGGTCGAAAAATACTGTCAACATTGATGTAAAATGAAGATAGTTCTGTACACGTTTCGTCCCATTAATTTTAAAGTTCATTTTTCATTTTAGATATCGCTCGTTGCTTCTCCCAAGTTTACAAATGCTAATGTATTCCAAAAACCTTCACATTTCCAATGTGTTGAAATATTTTATGCAAAGAGAGTCGTAATTTCTCCATTCAGCATCTTAATTTTATACGATAGTATCCTTCGGACATTCTACTAATTTATAAAATGAAATTTGATTGCTCGAATCGATACAAATTTCTGTGGGAATAGAACAATCTTAATCTATGTATAACAAACACAATATGGGTACATGTATTTCTGCATTAGAAAATGATCTGACTGTGTCTACTCGTCGAGGACATGCTAATGTATCACTGTAAAGAAAAAAAAAAATGGCGAAACGAACGAAGGTCCTTAGAGATATTGCAGAATACGTTCACCGATGGAAGAGCTTGCGAAACGAGCATGTCACAATGTTTCATAGGAAAATGCACGAGTGACCGTCTATTGCAAAAATGAACGTCTTTCGTCAAGCTGCGTATTCGAGGCAGAAATAAAAGTTCGCGTCGGCCACAAAATATTTCGCAATCCAGCGAATCATAGAATAAAACTTTGAAAGAATATCGAACGCAGTAATTAATTGGTAAAAGAATTTTGTTTGATCTGCGAGAGTCGAGTAGCGTAGCATAGTCGTTGTTCGTTTTCCTTCGCTTGCCTTTCCTTCTCGTCCGATGTTCGATTAAAAAATTAGTAGCGTTATCGATTTGGATTTCTCGCCGTAGAATTCACGTGCAGTTTATTCTCTTGCGAATGTCGAACTTACAGGTTTCGTATTCAAAAAGTTGGTAGAGTTTTCTTTCGCATCGGTAGGCATCCATTGCCTCAGGTCTAGTGGGACATTTAAATGGCAATAAATTGAAATAGAAGCAACGCACGTTCGGTGATAAGTCACTCGTTAGAATTAATCAGAGAGAAAGCAGTAACGCACGCTACGAGTTAATCTATCCGAAGACGGATTCGAAAGCTCTACTTCCAACCGCGCTTCCGAGTAAGCATTTGCTCCGCGCAAAAACGCTGATAGTGGTAACTACGATAGACCCACGTACATCACCGCTGCTGACCGAAAAATCACACACTTTGCCCACCTGAGTAGAGAGTTAGAGGGTGTTTTCTGTTGTCACGGTACCTAGCAGGGGTCCCGAGGCCGAGGTTGAAACAACCGTGGCTGGAGTGCGTTTTGATTTGGGCCCCGGCGTCGGCCGCGAGGGACTCAGCCTGAGAGACCCTGCCGCCGGACTGGTCGACTATTCCCATTGGCTGACAGCCCTCAGGTATACTTGAAGGATGCTTTCGAGGATGAGGAGGAAGGGAGAGGCTGCTGATAGATGAACGGTGGATGCGCACGATCGCGAACTAACCCGCTTGCTCTGCTGTTGTTTTTAGTTTTTTTTTTTTTTAGTCTTTTTTTTGTCAAATGTGCGGCTGGGCCTGATGTCTGATGATGGACTGCAAACATCACACAATTTCTTGTCACGATTGCACCGCGAGGATATCGTACACGTAGAAACGTGGATACCTCGGCGAAGGAGAGTCTTATTTTTCTTTTTTTTTCCGTCGCGCATTTTCAAACTGTTTGTTCGTATCAAAGACCCGAACGGAAGGACCACGTCCTCTTCCAGTGCTTAAGAGCTCGCGTCGCACGTCCCATAGCTGCTACACGGCATCGTTGCTCTCGAAACGATCGTCTCGACGTTAAGAAACGATTCTACACCACCCAGTCCGAAGCGGACATCCTACACACGGACACAGATCACGAACGTTCTAGAATGCGTCATTTCTTTGGTCACGTTTTATCATCACGCAACAGGGTGTTCAAACAAACCAGGGTAGAACAAGCAACAAACTAGACGGGAACAACGTTCGTTAGATGAATCAATTAGATGTTCACGATATGTTTGTACAATGGGGTTCGTCTAGGAAAGCTTCTAATCCCATGGCTGGTCGCTGAAGAACGTCTCGGATATATTTACAAGCACAGTGCTGTACAAAATACGCTTATTCTGGGTCTAGGATGAGGGTGAACGATGCGAACGAACACGACCGATCTTAATCACCGATAACCTTGTGTTACAGGGGCGAGAAACTCTACGTAACGAAGGACAAACGATCCAGAAGTTCCTACTGGAGAAGGATGGCGTGCTGGGGATGCGGCTTATTGGTCCTATTAATCGCTGTCATCATTGCCATCTTGGCTGCGAGTAAGTTTTTCTCTCTGACAATATCAAGAGGGAGACGTGAAAAACTCGAAAACGAAGATCCAAGTTGACTATATGATTTTGTTGCAGCTGGCGTAATATTGACGCAAGAAGCCACAGAACCGTTGGAGAACCTGCAACAAACTAATTCCCGACAGTTCGGTGACGTCCGAACCGCAGGAAGTCAAGAGTACGTGAAAGATCCGCCGCCAAGTCCACCGCCTGAAACCTCAAGTTTTCCACCTTGGCCAACGACGGATGAAAGTATTTACGTCACCGTCCCAAGCGCTTTAGACGGATTATTGCAATTAGACGAATTTCGCTGGAACGACGATCTGAGGGATCCTAAGTCGCGAGTATACAGAGACGTTGCCTCGGAGATAGAAGAATATCTAAGGAACGCGTTGCGTTCCGCGAACAATGAGACGATCGTCAAAGTGTACGATATAAACAAGCAGGGAGAAGTGATATTTAGAATAAGTTATCCTCCACAGCCTATGCCTGAAGAGACTCAAAGATTAATCGAGAACACGCTAAAAAAAAATGCCAACATGATCGGACAATACCACTTGAGCAGACTACAAGTAAGCAAACTCGTAGACGAGTGTCAGATTCATAATCATGAATGCTCCGAAATCTGCACCTACGATTACTCCAATGGTATGTTCGTCTGCTCTTGTAATTTCGGAAAATCGTTAGACAACGATGGGAAGCGTTGCATCGACAAAAACGATTTAAGTAACGTTGACATGGACGACGAAGTACCAAACTCCAACACCGAAACGGTGCACGACTACGTACAAGGCAGGAGTAGAGGACCAGGAACCCTGTTCGAACCCAGACGTCCTGATAATTGGCATCACTCCGATTTCAGTACAGAATCAGCGCATATGCACCACTCTTCGCCGCAAGCTGACAACGAACATGACTTTGGTATGCTTCCACAAGCAGATCGTGATTCATCGGAGCCAAAATATACACCCATGACCTCGACGGAGCAAAATCATGCGTTCCAAGACGAATCTGAGTCGGTTCATTGGATGCACGATCACGCGAGTCATTTCACTGTAGAACCTAACTCTGAATCGACAGTTAAACCAGAACCATCTGCTGAACCGAAACCCTTTGACGAATCGGAAGCTTCGATGGAGCCAGAGCCTGCTACTGAACCAAAGGGTTTAGCAGAGCCAAAGCCCGCTACTGAACCAGAACCTTCGGCAGAACCTGAGCCCTCTGCTGAGCCAGATGCCTCGGCAGAACCTGAGCCTTCTGCAGAGCCAGAGGCTTCAGCAGAACCTGAGCAGTCTGCTGAGCCAGAACCTGCAGCAGAACCTGAGCCGTCTGCAGAGCCAGAACCTTCAGCGGAACTTGAGCCTTCTGTAGAGCCAGAGGCTTCAGCAGAACCTGAGCAGACTGCTGAGCCAGAACCTGCAGCAGAACCTGAGCCGTCTGCAGAGCCAGAACCTTCAGCGGAACCTGAGCCGTCTGCAGAGCCAGAACCTTCAGCGGAACCTGAGCCTTCTGCAGAGCCTGAATCCTCTGCTGAACCAGAACCTGAATCCTCTGTCGAGCCAGAAACTTCGGTAGAACCTGTACCAAAGCATTTCGCCGATCTAGAAGTTTCCGATGAACCCAAGTCCACTACTGAACCACAACCGCCTAGTCTATCGGAATCATCCACGGAACCCAAATCTTTAGTTCAATCGGAACTCATTTCTGGATTCGAACCAGCCACCGAACCTAAACCCACAGAATCTTCCATCGAGCAGAAATCATCTAATTTATCACCCATGGAATCTGAAAGCTCTACGGACGTATCGTCTCAACAAGGAAGCTTTGAAATGTCTCCTGACGTCGAGCATCCCACCGAAATGCAACACACTATGGAGTCAGAATCTTCTACCGAACCTATGACCACGAGCAATGCAGTTGTCGGATCAATTACCGAATTACTCGCAACTGAAACTCCACTCGATTCTCCGACTACAACCTTAATGCTCGAGAATGAAAGTATGAATACATTTAACTCCAGTGACTCGACAAACATGCAGCCAGAATCTACTACACTTCCAGGTTCGTTTGGAGAAACCACGATGATGGATGATGAAAAGAATGATACGATAAGCGACGATTTACCTTTGCCAGTGATACCATTGATGCCTACCAACGAAGAAGCTATGAGTTTCGATCATTCGACCACCGATGATCGTTCAGAAATAAATACTACGCCAGTGATTGATACGAGTGCAAAGGAAATGGATAACGAGAATAAAATGATGACGACAAATCTAATGGAAACTACCGAAAGTATTGCATCGCAGGATACCGCAACGAATACAAATAGCGAAGAATCTGAACAAACAGATCCTTCCTCGACATCATCCAGTACTAAATCCACGATTTCCGAAGTAGAATCTATTACAAATGCGACAATGGATAATAACAATACCGAGACAACTCCTCTTCCGCTAGATACCACGTCGGAAAACACAACCGAATCAAGTTCTACCGCGGAAACTAATACTACAGAAGCATCTAATAACGAATCGTTTAAAGAGCTCAAGTCTCACGACGCTTCAACGTTGCCTGAACCCACCGAATCTTCCATTCAAATTGAACCGAGTACACGCGATGCGAATGAAACCAATGTCATCGAACATATGCCTACAACTATCTTCCCTAAATTGCCAAAAAACTTCGCACACAACGTCGAACCTCTTATAGAACCTCTTACGAATAACACAGAGGAAGAACACATCATGATTATACCACAGTCAGAGCACACAACGGAATTGCAAGAAGCTCACGCGATCATTCCACAACTCATACCAGAACAAAGCGTACAATCAACAAACGAATCGACGGCTCAACCTGAAATCACCACGGTAAAAAGTAAGATTCAAGCTTCTACAGAGAACAGTGCGACAGGTTTACAAGATTCGACAACCTCTGCGAACGAGAATGTCGTTTCGACAGGCGTTTCAGATCATTCGACTCGTTACGAGGATACCATAAATCATTCTACCTCCTATCCGTTACACCCTGCCGTATTTCCTGAAAACGTGGTCGAACATGTCACGGAGAAGCCTGATATAACTTACGATAAGCAGGTCGACGACATGTCACCTTTCCTTCCAGATATTCAGAAGGAGAAGGAAATGAAGAAGGCTCCGAGATTGGATAAAGACGAGCAAGACGTTCCTAATCCTTTCGATGGTCACGTGGAAGATGTCGTCACGTATAAACCTTTGATCGAGAACAACACACCTTCCACGGAACGAGATGCGAATGAAACAAATTTCAAGGATTTGATAAACGACGTGCATCCGGAAATACACAACATCGATCCACTTATCGAAGAAAACGACGACACCAGAGTGAATCGCACGGGCGTTAAAGATGAAGTCGCTAATGGTTTGGGAAACGAAGCTTTGAACGTTCTCGAAGTTAACAACACCGAGTCCGCAACCGACGATGTTATCGATAAACCAGTAAACGATGACAAGCACATCGTAGAAGAAAACGACGATCGAAATGTTTCCGAAGAAGACGAAGAAGCGCTAAAAGTGGTACCACTGGAAGAACAGTTTAAAGAGACAGAAACTACCATTAAATACGACACGGATAAAGGTGAATCCGAAACACCAATCGAATCTAGCACGACTACGATGACTGAAATGATTGCAAACGAGAAAACCTCGGAACAATCAACTGCAGGTAACGCGACGACTACTTCTTCCGAGAAACCGGAAGAGAACGCCTTGGAGGATCAGTATAACGACATATCCGACGACGCGTTGTCCAAGGGATACCGTAACGATGACGTGGAAATTCACGGTAAGGCTAAAGAATCCGAGAAATTAATCGATAATCATTTAGATTCGATACGAGATAAGGATCAGAAATTGGTAAAATCAATAGACGCGTCTTATTCGAAAGATGAAACGAAAAGTGGCTCGAATGATACGGAAGTTACGCCGACTACGATTGGAAGCGTTTCCGAGAAGCACGTAGAAGACTCCAAATTAACCACGCAGATACCAGTGTTGCCATTGGAGATACAGGAAGAGATATCCACAACCGAGAAGACTGAAAGCACCACTGTGACCGAGGAGAATCTTCGCAAAGATAACGACACCGAACTTTCGAGTGTTTCTCACGTGGACGCAGAAAAAGAAACTGCCACGACAGTCCAAGTGCCAACCACGCATATAGCATCGATGGAAACCAAAACCACTGCACAGGTACCAATTCCACCGGAAGAACTACAAACTACGGAGAGTGATGCACTGGTGACCACCTCCTCTATGAAACCGGATCTCGAGAAAAGGATCAACGACACGGATAACGATGGACAGAGAACGATGGAAGAGAAAGAATCTCCAAAATCTACCGACAGTGATATGCGTAACGATAATAAAACCGAGAATATAGCAACCAGTACGGAACATGCAAATGTACACAATAACAAGACCGATGATTCATTGGCCACCACGTTGGAACACGCAGGTAGTACGGAGATGAACGTTACGCGATCAGAGCCGAAGATTCCAGCGACAAACAATACTGACGCTAATCAGGAAGATATAATTACGCCGCCAGCGGTAAACAGCGAAGAGAACGCGAAGATAAACGCGTCAACGTTGAAAGAAACTGTGACTCGATATGAAAAATCAGAAGCTCCTCTGGCCAACAGTGAAAATATAACTACCGAAAAAAGTATCTCGAAAATGTTTGATAATCTCAGTACAACGGAAGATGTGAGACCAGTTACCGAGATACTCGAAGACGACACGCCTATAGGGTTCGATTACAGAACACTGTTCATCACCACCACGCCAAAGTCCGTTTTACCTGATTTGGACGTGGGAGAATTGTCCGAGGAAGATTTGAAAGTTATCCCGCTGGAAAAAACTTTGGAGGTGAAGAAAAAGTCCGTGGACAAGAAGTTGGTCGACAAATACAAATACAAGAAAGAGAAGGAACTCAATCTGGAAGACAGGGACGAAGCGAACGTGTTAACAGAGGTTCCAGATCCAGTTACATCGCTCTCTACAGAGGTGCCACTATTTAGCGTTGAAACGAGTCGAGAAGACCTTAACGCAACTATCGTAAACGATACGAAAGTACATCCTGCGCTGGTGTCGGGATTAAAGATCATCGAAACCACCAGCGGATTCAACGAAACAGAGATAACAGATCGCCAAGTGTCTAGAAACGAAGGAGAAAACAGCACCGATAGTAAAACCGGTATGTCGGGATCGAGTAACGCAAAGCAATACCCGAGTTTCATTCCCGTTTCAGAGGAGATAATAGAACCAGAGCCCGTCACCGAGCCCTTCATGGTCGTTCGGAATTATTACCATCGTCGACCGAACCTAGCGAACAACTTTGCGATGCTCAGTCGCACGGTGCCCAATGAGTCACCGAGCAAAGGACACGCAGCAATTGACCCCAGGAAAATTGATCAGCTAGACAACACGAGACCGAATCAAACAGGTTCGCAGCCTCCGGGCCAATCATCCGTTACCTCATCCGCGCAGGAAGCAAACGTAAATTTGCTTGCGAAAGAGCAACGCGCAGCAACGACAGTCCCGTCGACCACGCAAACAAAATTACCGGACACGCCAGTTGAAGCTACCAGTCACATCGACGTTTCGTTCTTGAATTTACCTCCGAACGTTTTCTTTTCGAAATGTACCGCTGGCCAGTTCCAGTGCGCGAATGGAACATCCAGGGATGGTGCCTATTGCGTGCAATTGTCCGCAAAATGTGATTCCGAGAATGATTGTTCGGATGGTTCGGACGAATTAAATTGCGAGCAAGACGGATGTCCAGGAAACTTCCAATGCGCCAGCGGCCAATGCCTAAAGAGAGACTTGGTGTGCAACAAGATCGTTGATTGCGATGACGGTAGCGACGAGAAAAACTGCGACGAGTGGAAATGCCAGTTTGATGAGTTCAGGTGTCCCAGTGGTAAGTGTTCCGGAAAAGAATTTATTATACGACGGATTGTAAGTTAGGATAATAACAGCGAACAAAAACTGATAGGAAATCGCTTTGAATCGTATCGTTAAAAATATCTCCAACTTTTCTTTCCAGGAAGATGTATTCCTGGGATCTGGCAGTGCAACGGTCGACCCGATTGCGAAGATCATCGGGACGAATATAACTGTGCCGAAAGTTGTGGAAACGACGAGTATCTTTGTCCAACGGAGAAATGGTGCATACCACTGACGTGGCATTGCAACGGAATCAACGAGTGCGCTAACGGAGAGGACGAAACTCTCTGCGACTGCGCCCTGGATCAATTCAAATGCAAAACGGGAGGATGCGTCCCGGACAATCAAGTTTGCGATGGAATTGAAAACTGTCCGGATCATTCTGACGAATGGGGTTGTTTAACGGACCAGAAAGATAGCGACATTGAAAACAATGGTGTGCAAGAGTTGACCGAGAGAACATCGTTATTAAAAATCAGGTGTGTGATTTAAAGATATCTAAAGACAAATTTGATCTATTAGTTACTTCGTGGTCCTTGATGGTTTTTCCATCTTTTTCATATCCACTCGTCAATTCTTGTCCTACGACGTACATTTTTCTTGTGTTTCAGGCAATTTGACGGCAACTATCGGCTGGTTTGCTCCGATACGTGGACCGAAGAGTTCAGCGATTCGTACTGTCAATCTCTTGGATTCTTTGGTTCCGAGACGACAGAGTCGATGGCGTGGGATAAAAACCACAAAGTCCTTAAACTGAAATCCAACTCGAATCCCCGTATGCCGCTAGTTACGAATTTAGAACCAGTGGAGTTTTGTGACACGGAGAAGGTCGTTCAGGTGTCCTGTCAAGAATTTTCTTGCGGCTCGGTTTACGGAGACGGACCAACTGCGAGATTAGTCGGTGGAACCCTAGCCAGCGAAGGACAGTGGTCGAGTGTGGCTTTGTTAAAAGAACCGAAACGCGGTGGTGCTTGTACGGCAAGTGTCCTGGGACCCATGCACGTGCTCGCAAGTTATTCCTGTATTCAGAGGTAATTGAAGATTCGACTTATGATCGAATAGCGAATTAAATGGTATTCTTCAAACTAAATAATGTCTCGTGTCTCTAGGTACAAGCAGAGCAACGGGTGGCAACTGTTCACAGGTGAAAATCTGTTGAAAGCTCATCCTGTTAAGAATATTATTCCGTATCCACAAGTGAAATACAATCAATTTCTATATAACGATGATATCGCGTTAGTCGAACTCGAGAAACCTTTGACTTTCTCGAGGAATATTAGCGCCGTTTGTCTACCGAAAAATCCAATTCAGGTGAGTATCGCAATTTCGTGTGAAACTCTTTCGTCGAAGAATGTATAAAATATAAAACGTTTAAAATATATTTTTGGGTAAATTTCAGCCGAGACAGATATGCGTTACGGCGGGATGGGGATTCCCCGTAAACGGCGAAGTGGATTTACAGAAATATCTAAAGTTTTTGCCAGTGCCAACGTACGATTCCGATAAGTGTAACGCGACGAGTCATTACGCTGGATTTATCACTAAGGACAATATATGCGCTGGATTCACTGACACGGACAAAGGACCCTGCTATGTAAGACTTCATTTTAAAAATTAGGATATTTATTCGAACTTACCGCTTCAGGAACTGCTGCATACGCTGTCTCGTTATAAAATAACGTTTCTGGTCTATTGTTTTCAGAACGACGAAGGAGCACCTCTAATGTGCGTCAGTGAATCTGGAGGAGGATCAGCCAGATGGGAAATTCAGGGTCTACTTAGTCATCACAGCAGATGCTCAAGGGGTCATCCAGCAATTTATTCTAGCGTGGAACCCGCGCTTTCTTGGCTGCGGCAATCTGTGCCTGCTTTACAAACGCAAAGTTAAAGTGCTACGCGCGGTTTTACTTTCTTAATCAAATGCACGAGTATTAGACTAATCGAATTCAAAATGACAACAACGACATATTGAAATTCACGTTAGGAATATTCCATAGAAGGGAACCGACAGCATGAATTTGTAAGTTCCTTTCAAAATTTTCTAATCAACAAAAACATGTGTACTTAATTTGTTATTTCTTCGTTCTATCCGTCTGTATTGTAAACAGTATGTTCCTACTTAAATGCGAAGACTGCATTCGACGGATAGCATCAAATGGCCATAATTCGATGTTCTGTTTGCAAAAAGAAATTCAAATGACTTTTTTTTTATATTATTAATTAATGGATATAGATATTGCAATATTTCGTAGTAAGTTCGACGCTTGCTATACGTATAAAAAAATGGAGTACGCTAGAGGTACATACGATCGACGATATAATACTTATTTACAATTAAGATATTTGTAAATACTGTATAAAGCGACTGTTTAATATGATTAACATTGTAAGAGATTTTTTACAGGTTTAGCAAGTTAGGTCTCTTAATTGTGCTGTTTTATAAGTATGACGTTGAGAAAAATATCGAATACGCGGTGTATTTTTATTCTGTTGAATATCTAACAATTTTTAAATTCAACTTTTATTATACTGTTGATTTTAGACATGATTTTTTGACATCTGACGTTGATTTTAAACATTATTTCAATTCAATTACCATGTAAAAGATCAACAGCATAACGAAAGTATTTATTCAAAATAAGAGACCAATTCAAAAATACATCTAATTATTCATTCAACAGTTTGTCTCAGAGATCCTAAGAAAGGATTTCTGGAAGGAGGGGTTAGATTTAAAAATAGATAGGATAAATGTATATAATATATAAGTATTTTAATAAAATACACTGTTATGGAAAGATACATTAAAATATGTTCATGTATGCATAGTCATTGATGAATGAGTAAGTATTTTTATATACTAAGATAAAAAATAAATGTATTCTAAATAAATTCTACATTTATTTTAAATCTAAAATGCTTAAATAATTTATTATTAAAGTAATTTCTTGCAAGCTACATACAAAATACATTTCTAATCTACTTGCTTCTTAGGCATAGCTGCAATTTCAGCAGCTGTTACAGCAGCATCCATGATAATCAATGATTTGGAAATACTGCTTATTACTTCGTTATACTTAGAAAACACTTTGTTCATATGACTCGTTAAATCTTGAGTTTCTCCATATATTTTTAAATATGATGAATTTAAATTGTTCAGTTTATTAGTTAGTTCTGGTACATCTCTTAAATGATCGGTTTCTAATATAGGCATTAGTTCTTGTATTTGGTGCAACATTTCACAATTTTGCTTGATCTCTGGCATTAATGTTAGCAACAGCTGACCGATAGCATCTGTATTCAGTTTTGAATGTTCAACTACAGAGTCTATATAACTATTCAATTCTGGTAACCGCTCTATCACTACATTTGCTTTTTCACGACCTGACAAAGCAGATGAAATCAATGTGTTTACATGAACAAGGCTATCAACCACAGAATTTTCCAGTGGTGTATTGTCAATTCCATTTGGTTTTTTAAGCCCATGTACACATTTTTCCAAATTGGCAATTCTGTCTTCTAATAATTCGATAGTTGCCATTCTACGCGTTAAAAGAGAAAATTTTCCATAAATCACTTTTCTCACTTTTAAAACACTTTTACACTTGTTATAAATATTTTAATACGTTCAAGGAAACGAACACATATACTCCAATTTTAAGTAATATTACTTACTTGAACAAGTCAGGAATTTCGCAAATGCAACTTCAGTTTATTAACACAAAATAATATGAATTATTATAGTAAACGAATATAACTTTACAATTTACAATACAAAATGTGACAGAAGCAAATTACACAGGTTATATTCTGTCTGAATGTCTTTTATGGACACAAAATTTGTATCGCTATCTAGCGGTGAAAAGGCTCAACAATTTTTTCGTAGGCATGTATACATGACACATATTATACTCCTAATATCTTATTTTCCTTATAACTAATTTAAAATAAAATTAATTAATAAGTGTAGGAAATAATACAATGGTCAGCGCATATGTGATTATGTCAAATTTAACATTTTTATTTAATGCAACAATAATTATCGATCTCGTAGATAGTGGCACCATCGGTGGCAAAACGCCCAAGTTTATAGTAAAAATAGTTCCGACAATTTCTCTAAGATGACGCCATCGATACCTTTAATCAGTTATATACCTTTATTTTCTATAATGCATAATTAATACGATTATTTGCTTTATAACTCTGCAATATATTATTTTAATACATTATTTAAACATTTACTACTTCTACATACGTAAATGTAGAAATAATTATCGACTCTTTAATTCTTGGCGCCATCTAGCCCCAGCAGCGAGAACTATCTTCACTACAAACTTGGGCGTTTTACTACCGATGTCGCCGTTGGTACTAAAACCCGCTCAGTGAGCGGTGGTCTCTCTAAGCACCCAATGTCATATTATATGAAAATATACATATATGTATTCAACCCTTTATTCATTTCAAAAAATATTCCAGTAATAGGTTCCATTTATTCTAAATTGTAATAAATGGTAAGTCTTTTATCATTCTGGTAGCTTCATTTACAATACTCTTTACACTGAACATAATAGAAATTTGTTGTCTATATTTATTAGGAACAGAAATTAGTAGAAAGTGTAGAAAAGCATAGAAACCACTGGGTTAAAGTGTTAAAATTGGCTGCCCCCAATTTTAAAACTTCCCCTAAGCTCTTGTCCGCAAAGCGACAATACTAATGCTCAAAATAAACGCATCGGAGCAGCTTCTGCATGCGTGCACATATGTAGGTACTTTACATGAGGTATGTATACTCTGTAACTACAAATTTTTAAATAAACTCCTGCGTTCTCCCCTCTTTCCACTTTGAGAAACTGCTACAGATGAATAGCAGACACAGACCGCTAACGGCTATGCGAGGCGAGGAGCGATGGTAGGGATACGGGGTATCTGTCATGGCCGACGTTCGCAGTAAGCGTATGCGTATGAGTGTAGTTTTGTCCAGACCGTGTCGGCGAACGGTGCACGGTGTGTCCAGTGGTGAAGAAAAACATGGGGCACGATAATGGGCAGACGGTCAAGCGAAGAAGGCGTTAGCGAACTGTTGGTCCTCGTACAGGACGATTTATGTGAGAGGTCCACGACGATGGAGTCACGAGCACGGAGGACTCGGTTGCGTAGCGTCGTGGGGATATGCTTGTTCCTCGCGCTCACGAGTATCATTTATCTCGGATACTTTTGCCCGGATCATGTATGCGCCCTAACGAATCGCGAGATCAAGGAGACCGTGAGACTTTCCGAGAGTCTGTCTGCTGGCTCCGGTTTGTCTTCCGTCTCCGTTGAATTCGACAAAAATGGCCTGCTCTCCGTACATCCTGCTTTTAGATTGCAGAGTATTCAAGGAAGCCTTGGTTACGATGACGTGTTTACAAATGAAACCTTCCAGTTTGATATTAATGCACACGATGTCATTGTTTTCTTACATATTCAAAAGACTGGTAAGTAATAGTGCTATTTTGCAATGAATCATTTTATAGCAGTTTCAATTCTAATTATTGAAAACTTTGAATTCTGTTGGTACAGACATTAGTAATGATATATTATTGATGTTGTTGACACAAAACTACACCAAAGAAGTTGCTGTCATAGTTTTTAGTTTATTTCTAACATATAACTATTAGAAATTATATACAATGTAGACAATACATATAAATCTTCCTAGGTGAAAACAATTCAGACAGTTTGCAGACCATAAAGTGTCTGCATAAATATATATTTTTCTTTGACTTTGTACTTAGATTTCTTTGGATGACTGCCAACCAATCCTATAGCTTGATAAAAACAATGCAATCCCCCTTCTGACCATTGTAATTGTACAACTGAATCTTTGCATTATTCATCAGACACTGTGAAACCTCCAGACCCTATCTTAGAAGGAGAAAGAATAATTCAGGGATGTTGTCTTGTTTAATATGCAGTGCATGCATATCCCTGTTTCCTTCTTACTTTTTCTATGTACATGTTTCCCATAATCTTTTCTTCATCTGGATGTATATTAATAGAGAAGATATAAGTTGTAAAAACTTGTTTAACATGTTTTTTATCGCTATTACGATTTTATCTTACCTTAATCATTGAGTTTTTATGCAAATTACTAGTTCTATTGCGCAAAACATTCGCAGAAACTTCATGTAAATTAATATTGCTGAAAAAATATTACGCAAGATATAATTTGTAAAACAGAAAATTTAAACAATACGCACCTTTTTATGTTACAGGAGGAACTTTATTTGGGAAACATTTAGTTAGAGATCTGGATTTGCAGAGACCATGTTCTTGTCAAAGAAGACGCAAGCGTTGTTTTTGTTTCCGTCCAAATCGCAATGAAAACTGGCTTTTTTCACGATATTCTACCGGTTGGAAATGTGGTCTACATGCTGACTGGACAGAATTGACTAGTTGTGTAGATGCTGAATTAAATAAAATTGAAGGGGATGGGATAAAACGTAGATACTTTTATATAACTATAATAAGGGATCCTGTTGCACGGTATCTGTCCGAATTTAGACACGTGCAGAGAGGCGCGACGTGGAGAGGCGCTCGTCATTGGTGTGGAGGAATTCAGGCTAACATACCCCAATGCTATCCTGGATCCAATTGGCAAGGAGTTTCTTTGGAACAGGTAACGTATTATTATTATAAATCTCAATCCTGTTTAATAATGTGAAGAGATTTTTGTATCTTAATATGGTCATAAATTCATAACAATGACTTCTTTAATGAGTATAGCATTAAGTATGTTATCTGAAAGGCTTTCACATTTAGAAACACATTAAGATAAGCATTTCCCCTTATCTTGAATCTTCCTTTTCTTCCACTTTATATAGATGTAATTCTTCCTATCGAAACAGCTGTTGCTTTGTTGATACAGATATTTGAAGCCTACAAAAATTTATATTTATATTGTATAGTAAATTTTGTATATCTAATGATAGAAAAACAGTGTAGTGGAAATAGAACAAACTTCTATATGCAAGTATCGATTCAAATCTTCTTCATAAACAACGTTATAATTTATGTAGTTTATGGCGTGTCCATATAATTTGGCAAGCAACCGCCAAACCAGAATGTTGGCTGATCTATCAATTGTTGGTTGTTACAATTCTACACTCAGCAGCTTGGAGAGAGATCGTCTCATGTTGGCTAGTGCTAAACACAATTTGCAATTCATGCCTTTCTTCATGTTGACAGAATACCAAAAAGTAAGAACTAATTTTTTTTTGTTGATGTATAGAAGGTGCATGTTAGCATGGTTTTACATTATCATTCCTTATTGTAATAGCCTTATTTTCCAATGTATTGTGCTGTTAAAAATATGCTTAAGTTTCAAATCATTAAAACTTTTAAAGAAATTAATTTCACTTCTAACATACCTAAGCCTGCTGTGTTAACAATGTATTTTAGTTTACACTGAAGAATCATCTGTTGAAAGTAGCTCTTGATGTAAATATTTGTCTTTCCTACCATACGCGGACGATGAATATCCTGTAAACATCCCGCGTTTTAGCATTACAGTAAACTTACGCTTCTTTTCCCCTGTTACGAGACGTGAGGCTACCAATACTTTTTTACGAAAATACTTACACGTTTTAATTCTTCTAATGTAAAATAAATTAATATCACTGCAGTTTTTGTATAACGTACAATTGTATATATGTATTTTATGTTTTCTGTTTTTGTATAATTACGATAGAAATCTTTTTGTCGATATTGTTATGTTTTGTGGAATATATTTTTGTGCCATACTTGACATTTTTCGTTATCTAAAATTTACGAATCGATGTGTTGCTATCCTTGACACATTACCATATCTACAGAAAATTGCTATGTGCTGTAAATATGATCTATACAATTCAAAGAAATTTGCATTATTGAGCTGTTTGCTTGTCTTGCTGTTTCATTTTAGAAGATTTTTACATTGTAAGTCTTAGTGGATACCTGATATAAATGTATATAGAGATGTTATTTTCTATTAATAAAATATTTTTTGTTACATCTCTACACACAAATCCTACAACAATAACTTAAAATCGAATAGGTGGGACAGTATTCCTTTGAAGAAACGTTTGGAATGAGATTTGCTATTGCATTTGAGCAACATAACGCAACGCTGAGCGCTGCAACAATGGCTACCCTCAGTGCAGAACAATTAGATGCTGTCCGTAGGCTTAACAGCCTGGATCTGGAACTTTATGAATTTGCAAAAACTCTTGCATTTCAAAGATTCAAACGGCTTAAAGATGGTGATCCATATTTTGTACAACGATTTCAACATCTCGGCGAACTACCCTCGCGGCAGAGCGCAACGGAATTTAATTGGGATTCTGTTATCGAGGATACTACAGATATTGAATGATATGTAAGTATGTTATAAATAGATAATATTGATGCTTTACATTCATAGCTAAGCAAATCAAGTTGCTCTGAATCTGAGTATCTCAGGGAATCATCCTTGAAAGAAAATGTTTTACATAGAATTATTGTATGCAGTTATCTGCATGTAATTTACCAAAAGTGTTATAGAAATTAACTTAGATAAGACCAAAGAGAACTCGGGGGATCTCAGTGTAATCCTCTTTCAATAATTATATATAAAAGTATATATGTATGAAATACTTATACAAATTTTTTTATGATTTTTATAACATTCAAAAATTCTTTATAACAGTTCTTCCATTCGATGCAATTTTCTTTACAATGCTACATTTAAGGTTGTACTTTGTTGATGTTTTTATTGTGTATACAACAATAACTGCAAACAGATTTTTTTTATATTTGTTGAACAGTGAATATTAAGAAATGTTATGCATTGAGTATTTCAAAAAATATCAATCCAAATATTTTCTTCTTAAATGTAAATGTTTAGAACATAGCATGATTCTCATTATTTTAATAACAATTTCTTTAATATTCTGTTAAAACGTGATATAAACTATTTCTATATTTTCGTAATTGAAATTATTAATGTACATACTTATTTACTTTGAACTCATTTCGAAATAAAAATACTTTTTGATTTATTTGATTCTTAAAAACAGTACTTGGATAAGAGGTATTACTCTAATTAATATTTGATAAAAAAATAATTGTATCTTTTTCAAATTAATATCAGTTAAGGGAGATTAAACATCACAATTTTGTTTTGTAAATATATCTAATAGTATATATTTTTGAATACAATTATTTGCAGTGTTGTAATGTTGTATCCTCTACTTTCCAAAAAAAGTTTTACTTTTCAAAATTGTATACATTCATAAATTAATAGCCATGTAAATTAAACAATAACTGGCCCTCTATAAGAAAACATTATGCACAAATTTAATGAAATTTCCTCTGCAAAGTTTGTTGCAATTTTTTAAATTTTATTCCTGACCACTCACGCTATGCAATAGGGGTTTAAACAAAGTGGTTATAGATTTAATAAAAGCGATCTGTATAATTTAAGTGATAAAATGTTCGTGTGAATGTTAGAATGAATGGTCATATATTAGATAAACGTGTCTGATATTAGAGATTGGTTATTTAACAATGTAACTGCTGCCAGAGGTCATCTGACTTGAGTATGTGTTATTCTGCTCTGAGGAGATTGTCTTTGGTGATGTCGGTAAATTTAGTTACTCTTAAAATTGCAAATCTTATTTAGAGTTTATCATTTATTATTTTGAAGCAATAAATCAATAATTATGCTAAGAACAAAGAAAGTTGCATTAAGTTAAAACGATTGTGTAGTTGTTTAATGCATTTATTTAATTAAATGTGCAATAAGGCTCAATGGGTTACCATTATAAATATTTCATATCATCAAGTCATGAGATAAATGTAATATATTCTGTATACAAGATGTTCTAAAATTAATGGCATACATTTTGTACAAGTATAGTACTCATAAAAATGCTAGATTCAGCAGGCATAAGCAGAATATACCACCTTCTAGATAACTACAACAAAAACTTCATTGAAATAAAAACAATCTCATTTCCTGTATTGGCTCGAGAACTGATAAACTCTTGAAAGCTTTATCATTCAACACTCTTAACAGATAAGAATAATTGACTGGTGAACCATCATTTGAAGATACTTGAAATAACTACCGTAAAACTCTGAATCTGTTGAATTCTAAACTCATATTTACTAACATTTCTGTTTATTTTTATTTCCCAACAAAATTTAACTGTGAACCTTGAATTTTAGAACATCTTGAATACCATATATATATAAAGTTAGGTAGGTAGTATTGAATTGTTAAAAACAGAATGCAAATGCTCTCTTTAAAATGCAATTGATCATTTTTATAAATATGATTACCACGTTTATTGTGTAAGGTATATCATAAAATGAGTGCCATGAATCATGTATTATCAAATTAATTTGTCTCTTACAGATTTGCCATTATAAATGATGTTTTATTAATATGAAAGTATATAATTTTTCAATCTAATGTTCATAAACTGCAGCTTTTTATTGCCTATATAGAATATTTTTTTGTTAATTATTCAATAACAATTGTGACCAGTTAATATTTGCTAACATTTTGTAAGTAAATAAAAACTGTACTAGCGACAACGTGATTATTACAAAACGAAATATTTTTCAAAATTTTATGGAAAAATTGATTCATAAATTAATTTGAAACTACTCTTATATGTAAGCCAAAAACTTGTGAGAGATCTGTTTTCAGCATATATGTGTAGCAGCATAATATTAAGCACATAAAATAATTAATGATAATAATCATTTAAAAGTAATATTAAGAACCAAAGATTTAATATTTTTACAAGGATGCAGAGAGCTTGTTGTAAGCAATTGTAAAAAAAACTTTTTATATGTTCGTAAACACAGTGATTATTATAACTGCAGTAAGTGGTAAGATGTATTGCACATCTTTCCATCTAATATGTAGGTACAATAATTAGGAGTATCTATCTGGATAAAACACGAAAACTTCGAAAAAAATGATGCACCACAACAAACTTCTATCAAAGTACTGCTATTTTGTCACGTACTCACTTTTACAGTGCATTAACATTTTTGTAATAATTTAAAGATAATCGAACTTACATCGCGCTATTATAGTATTTTAAAGTTCATAAGTGAAACACAATTAGATATATTTATCATTTTATCACCTGTTCAGGTTAATAATTGCTACACTTCTCTGCCGTTTCTTGTTTTTTTATTTCATGCATTAGAATGTTTATCTGTCTATGTATATAAAAAAAGGATGTTTGCGACCATTTGTAAACAGTTATAGTTCATTAGTTTTTCGAATATTCGCATTATCTGCATTGTAAAAACATGCACATACTCATTGGACTAGCATGAATGAAAGATTAACTTTAATGTATAATATAATGTTCTTAGTATGGAATTAAGTTATTAAAAAAATTAAAATAAAACGCCATGACAGTAGCCTAATAAAACAAAGTATAGGCCTAAGCCATTGGTACCTTACGTAAGCCAGTGTACATACCATACCATTATTTCATTAAGGAACAATAAATTGTTGTGTATACAATATTATATACAATCTTATACAGACACATATAAATACATAAATATATATATATATTATATAAAAATATTATATGTAAGTTGTACACATATTTAAAAATTATGTTATTTGATTATTAAATAATTATACAAAGGAAAGCATGCACTTATTTCAAAATACACCAGATCTAAATAAGAACTGTAAATCTATTATGTAAATACTGTTCTAAAAGTATGATTGGAAAAAAGAAAATAAGATATAAAGTAAAATGTTTATTTTGCAATTTCTAGTTAAATATATTTATACATTATTATTAAAAGAATTTCTTATTCATAGAATTATATTTTAGAACTTTCTGTCTAAAATTAGAATAGTTTTGGACTCTGTACTTTAATATTAGATAACTTAGAGGATGGACATACAGAACTTTGTAAGTATCAAGCTCTATAGAGATCGATACTGTCATGTGTAACTTGTTCTGCTAGAGTAATGATTGCTCCAACATTATTTTTTCAAAACCTGTAGGTGGAGGATGAGCAAAGTTATCCAAAATTAAATCTAAAATGGCCCCATCATCCACTACAAAAGAAAAGTAATATGTTGAAAGACTAACTCCTAAGTTAGGAATCTTTTTAATTTGCAGCAAATTACCATAAAGTACTGGATACACAGTTCCTTTTATCCCCATAACTGGTGCATCCATTGATTTTCCATTCATATAGAAATTAAGTTCTACGTGATCATAAGACACACCCTAATGGATAAAGTCATTATATTACAAATTAATATGTTTTTCCAACATTGTACTTACAATAATGTCGCCTTCCTGAACCAGACTTTGAATTGTATGTAATTCTTGCCGATTGTGCCTTATGATTCCATCAGAATTAAGAGCCCAACTTTCAGTGTCGTTTCCTCCTATTGCAATGTTGAGATCTGTGGACCTAGTAGCTAATCCTATTGCCCATATACCACCTTGTTGTATTTTAACTTCAAAATAACTTTTACTTTGGACGAGAGGGGCATTTGTTAAGGCACCACCACAACCACACACTCTTAGGCCGTCTTTTACTATAACAACTTCATGTCCTACATCAAATTGACAATATTTTCTTTAAACTTTCTTACATTTCGAAAATGTAGCATTCATTAGAGATAGTTTAAAAGGTGTAAAAAGTGAAAGTTTTATAGTGATAGTAGCACGTTATAAGTGACACACAACAAACGTCTTTATTTTAAAGACATGTAAAAGCAGAAATTGTATGCAAATTCGATGATACAGATATTGTTAACAATTTAAAACACCGTTAAGTTATCCCAATCGTAAATGTTAAAATTACCCATGAAACATGTATCTAAAGCTATAGGATTAAGATCCCTCTTCGGCGTTTGAGTTTCGGTAAAGCCAAGGCCGTCAAAACAATTTCTCAAACAGCAAAACATCATCTTCGTTCGATATGCTTTACGATCTATTTAAACTGGTAGAGCGGCATTGTGCCACTTTTAGGAGAGAAAAGATTGTTCTTCCTGTAAGGAAGATTCTGAACGTTTTGCAATATTTACTTTTATCGCACGGAAATGTAGTCACTACAAAACTCCTAGATTTGATAGAAATATGATGCTGCGTGTATTTCAACGCGTATACAGGATTTCAAGTTTCAGTGTATTGGTTCACTATGCATGCTTGATAGAAAATGGCTTCTCATATACATACAATCGATAAAAAAAACTTGATTATTTTATTTAGTTGTAGTTTATTTTCCATTAATTTTAAATAATCGAATGTGATACCTCTAAATTTCTAATGTTTACATTATAGATAGAATATTAAATATATACAAGCGTACGAGATGTAAGGTTATGTTTTACCGACATGCAAGGTTAAGTTCAGAGTATAAATAAATACGGAATAAAATATAAAAAAAAATGTGTTTATGAAAAATGATCACTTTAGGATTTATTTTAACATAAAGTTTAGATTTTTAATATATATATATATAACATACAGATTACTCGAATAGGGAAGAAAATAAAAGACTTTGAATTTGTTACCAAAATGGTGTTTATTTGCTTATTTTGTATAAGATTTATACCCGACTGGGATATAACATCTGTAAAGTAAAAGAAAAAAAGAGTTGTTAAATATTTAAATTTCATACATATGGTACAGTTACATCGAACACTATCGAACAACTTACAATCCTGATACGGTGACCCATAGCTTTAGCAGGCAGATTTCTCTTAAACTTAGCACGTACAGATCCGCTGGTTCCATGAGGTCGCGTTACCTTACCCCAAATAGCTCTAACTTTTGTTTTCCTTCCCTTTTTGCCAGGAACAGGTGTCCTATTCTTTGCCTATACAGAAATATGTATTTACTGGGTTAGCTAATTTTTATATTGCTCGATACGATAAAATATTATTAAAAAAATACCTTATATACATAAACACATCGTTTTCCTATATAGAAATCTGAGTCACGTATGCTCTTTGCTCCATCAACTTTGAGCAATGCTGTGTGTTCATGTTGATTACGCAGTCCACGTTTGTAACCAGTGAAAATAGCTTTAGCATAAAGACGTCCGTGTCTTTTGAAGGGTCTCTTTTTCTTTGGAGAAGCTGGTTCCACCGGCTCCTCTGAAGTTGGTTTCTTGCTTGTTTTCGTTTTAGCTTTTGGATCAGCTGGTACGTCTGCCATTTCTAGAAAAAAATAATTCACATTTTTCAGAAATAAGCACTCGAGACAAAATATTTAGAGGGTTCGTACGTGATACAATTTAATATGAGAAACTACGATAAAATGTAATCAGTTCAAAAGTTGAAACGCTTAGGTTATGTCAAAATAGTGTTTAAGTTGTAATGTAAATGAAGATGAAATTTTACTTCGATATCAAAAGAGATGATTATTAACACGATATTCTTTAATATATCAAAATATCTTTAACGTATTACAGATTTACAACGAAATACACGTTTTTGTTATCGTAGGAGCACGAATGCCTTGTGTGAAACACATTCGTAATCCACTTAGATCAATGAAAAACATACGAAGTATGATAATGAAAATAATTACGTGAAAACACAAGATAATTATCAACAGTATAAAACTATTATTAATTTATCGATTTAATTAATTTAACATATATTAAGTAACAAATACGGGACTCTGAGACAACATGACATACCGGATGTGTATCACGGACAAGGAAGAGGGTCTAAGATGAGATACCTTGAAACCACGTTTTTAGTTACTCGAAGATAGGTAGGTGGCGCTAGTAAACATAACAAGTACTATGTATTGTACAATTTCAAGATAGAGTAAGATTCAAGATGGATTCGCGTTATACTAGACGTTGGCGTCAGCTTTGAAATTAGCAATTAACAGTTTAAAGTTTGAAGCAGAGCTACTCCGATGTCCATTATGAAAGCAACGATCGGTGAGGTTTTATTTGTACTTATTTCTAATATGATTTATGTATTGTATATAAGAGCTGTATCTTTTGTTATAAATTTCTGTGAAACCAAAAACTCTACTTCGAAGAAAAACATCTACGAACGTTCATGACTCGATGTATTATTATTTCAATTACTAATTAGTTGTATTCTGATGTGAGTGAATTTGAAATTGTACGTTCACAAAATCACTTTTAAATTACATATGTCGCCCTACAGGCGCCACCCGAGCGCAAAGGATTAAATTTGAAAGTAGCATAGCCACTAGGTAGCGCTTCATATCTTGTTTACCGACGCTGCAGTTATATTCCATACTTGTACTTTTTTACCAGTAAATGAAAAACGTATGTTGGTATTTATATTCTAGCAAAAACTCGGTGGCGCCATCTATCGGTGAAACGACTAGGAATTATTTTACGACAAACTTGACTCCTTTGCCACCGATGGCGCTAGTTTATCCTGCTAAAGGGGTAGCCCGCTTTGCGCAAAACCCGAGAGAAACACTTGTTTGCAATATGATAATTTTTAAGTAACACATTTGCCTCATAATGTAATCATGTCAGCCATTAACTCGTGAGAAGTTTACGCCCATAGCTTTCACGAACGTTTCTTGGGAGCTTTCAATAGAAACAGAAGTACCCATATAGATAGATAGATAAAATTGTGAGCATAAGCTTTCGATCTTGTGGGCTTTCGACGCTCTCGAAGGATCAACTTTTGTCCCCAAGCTTCGAAAACGATGGTCAACAAGAAGAGTCGCTATACTCGTGGTCCTGGAAAACTGATTGGAGTAGGACAGGCGGATAAGTACGTAGATCTAAAGCGGTTGGTCGGCCACGTATGTGAATGCCGTGAATGCTCTAAGCCCGACGTTACGGAGGTGTATTAGTACCGGTAATTCCGCCACGATGCACCGGACGTGGATCACGACGGAAGATAGATGACATTGTTTCGGAGAGAGGAAGCAAGAGGAAACGCACAAAAGCACTTGAACGGAGAGAGAACAATCGTCGCGAAACAGAGAGGGGCTCGATAGATTGAAAAGGGCAAAGCTGCGTTCGCGGAGGAATAGGGAGACGACGCGACAGAACAAGAAGACCCAAGCCAGACCGAGAAAAACCGCGACTGCTGAAACTTCTCTCTGGAAGTTGCTTGAAAAGAGACGACAGTCCGTAGTTATCGAAGAAGGGCTGGGACCACGCTCGCTTTCTCTCTCTGTCGCAGTCGAATCGTCATTTGCACCGCGTCTAGGAGAGCCCGACGAAGCGACGTATACGCAGACCGGGGATGACGATGATAACAATGATAATGACGATGACGAGGCGCAGCGACCGGTTCGAATGACAGAGTCTGTGGCGTCGAGCGAACTACGCCTGGGAAACAATGCCTGCTGAATTTCCGCTCCGATTATTCGCCACTATGTAATCCATAAAATGAACTCCGATGGTGATACGTGCGTCTTTGTGACCCTTTGTCGAATGAGCGCTCTTCGAACTGTCTGCTTCGAGGATGATTTTAGTCCCCTCGCTCCCCTCCCGCCAATCCTTGGATTTTCTCGATGGTTCGATAGCTCGAGTCCAGACATCCAAAAATAGTTGTAGCTTGAACGATTAGATTAGCAGTTCGTTTAACTTTGTCGAAGAAATATACAGAAACTGGCGCGCGAATATTCCCCGATAATTCATCGTTCGTTCTGAATGCCATCCTCGAGATCGCCGCTATGGGAGGTGTCGATCGTAAATTTTCTTCTTGACCCACGTTCGAACAATATAAATCTAATGGGTCGGTGGCGTTCCACAATTTTATTTCTTCCCTAGGCTGGTCTTATCCTAAATTATTACATCTGGGGGTTAAAGCGCCCCCTACCGCGGGAAAGGTGTCAAGGAGGGTGGCGGATAAAAGGGGAAGGACACCTGGGAATCCAGGAATGGGAACACTTGTAAATTCGATTAAACCGATCGAGAGATCCTCGCCAAGAGTTTACACGAGAAATTTATCGTAACAAATAAACGGTCATCTTACATCGGGAGTTACAACTACCTTGCTATAAAAAGTTTGAACTTGCCGAGGAACGTTGCGCGCCAAGCTCGTAAAGAGTAGATTTATTTTCGAACGGAATATGTTCCACATCTCTTCTTCGATTCTATTTTCTGTGGAGAAACATTTTTTTTTCGTACAATCGGTAGAATGAACATTGCTCGAATCATTTTGCGGAAAAAGTTAGCAAAATTATTTCCCCTCCATTCTTTTCTGGAGCAAAGATTTAAGGCGTGCGCGGCTCTTTGACGAGAGACCGATCGGACCAAGTTTATTCCTGCGCGGAGCTGGCTGCCAGGGCGAAAAAGGAGAGCGCGAAAAATGCAGACATCGCGGAAAAACGAGCTTGAATAATTCAACTGTTTCGAGGGGAAAGGAGAGTGCGGCCCTCCCAATGAAGGGAACCAGGGCGTATATTTTTACGTTTGCCCGACGCGAGAAATCATTACTCGAAACCACGTTTGTTCATTTTTCCGCTTCTCGTCTCGGCCGCTGAAAAAAAATTAATTACAAAATGAGAAAGGCGTATCGCTATTAAACGATACGTCTACCGATATCTCCAACGAACTTTTAATTGCTTTCGCATAAAAAAATTTCATCGCGATGTTTACGATGATTACGATGATGATTTTCCTGGCGATGTTACCCCCATACTTGAAACGTGTATTCAATTTTGGAAAAGAGACCGAACCAAATGAAATTTTGTTTCGCTTCTGTCTCCATTCGAACGATAAAAAGACTTTTCCAATTCATCGTGCAACACCGCCAAGCATTAAAAGAATGCCCGCGGTATTCTGCAGCCGTAGAGCTCGGTATTCGCTTCTCCAAATTCCTCGATTACTATTCGAACGGCTGAATTAAATGATCGTTCAGCGCGTATCTTGAGCGCAAAACGAAGCGAACAAACTTTCCACGCGAAAGAGTCTTCCTGTGAAACTTGGAGGAGCCGGGAGGTGTACGAGGAAACGCACGCGGAAAAGGGTGAATTTTCCGTGGAAAGTTTGAGCGTACGGATCTCTTACCGGTGCTAAGGGGTGAAATATTGAATCTCTCGGGGGGTTAGAAAGAAATGTAACTCGCATTTTCTTTTTCGAGCTTTCTCGGCTCGCGGTGTCGGCGCGTCGCGGCGGCCTCTTTTCACGGCGCGGCGCGTTCGCGCACGTACGGAGGACTACAGCCCCGCACGGATCGCGATGGTCCACGTCATACGTGCCCAACATACTCCTTTGGAAGTTTATGTCAGTTCGTCCGTGTACCCATGGATGGTTTATCGATCGCGGCACGATTTACCGCTCGATCGATACGTTTTAGTTAGCGGAAACCTAACTCGAGCGAAGACGAAATTTCCACCGTAGGAGTCGCTACGAATTTCTCGGCATTTTCTTCGTTATCTAGCTGCCCTCACCCTCTCTCTCTCTCTCTTCTGGCTTATCTCCTCATTTCCTCTGTCTTCCTAACGCTGCTCAGACTCGTCGATGCGAGAACACCTGCTCTGTATAATATTTACATGACCTGCCCCCTTAAGACTTGTTACTCGAAGGCATCGCTAGTTGCAATCATCTTACCGCGCGTACAATGCCGATATTAGCGTCGTGTTTGATTTACCGACGCACGCGATCTTGTCAAGCGTAGCTGGTACTGAAACACGATTACATCTTGCATCGGATGCGACATGAATATCGCGTTCCGTCGGGGCGCGAATAAGAGACGACCCCGTCGCGCTTCTATTCCAGTCTCGTGCAACCAGTTAACGTTTTTACTCGATGGCAAGAGTGCAGCTACTGCAGCACTAGCTTAGTTGCCTCGGTGGCCAGGAATTATGGGAATTTCAGCATGCTCTGCCGTATTTGCCGCCATTCGTTTCCAGTCATTCCATTGGAGCGCGCGAGTTTTCGGGACGAGTTTCCCCGGATGCGGAATTAATTGCGGACTGTTATTAAAAATAAGCTGGGTAAAATAAATTCCGGCCGGAATGTTGATTTTCGAGAATAAACTTTCCGCGGGCCAACCAGACGAGTTGAAGGCTTCGTATCGTGTGGCTTTGTTAATTGTTCAGCTTCTGAGCATTGTTGTTGGCATTGTTCGCGCGGAGTATTACGAGGAAATTCGCATCGCGATGTGCATTATACGATCCGATTACACGAGATTTTTATAAAATTGTCTTGGCCAGCCCACCCATTCAAATACAGAAGTTCCATAAAATAGTTGAAATGGTGGTCCAATTTTTTATTAATAAAACAGTACAAGTATTTTACGATCGAAGGATTTTTCCGCGATCCAGGTAAAATTTTGCCACGACACTTTCTGTTTGTTCCCGTCCAACCGCGCTACTTGGGGTAGAGCGTCTTCGCTATAACGAGATGATAGAGAAAGATTTTCGATAGCATGGATCACCAACACGGACGATCGACCGTGCGGATCCTTCTCGCGAAGTCCATCTAGGAAGCTGATGCAAACTGTCAACAACGCGGTGGAAACGCTAAGACAGCTGTCATTTTTACGGTCGTTGAACAGTAATCGAAAAGCTGTGTATATATTTTGACTCAGGAACGGGGGGCTGAAGAAGGGTTTGAAGAAGGGTTTGAAGAACCTTACTCGCACAGCGAAGCCCTTGGTCGGATCGAAATTATTAGAACGTTGAACGAGTATGTGTGTTGACGTGTACACCGTTGTATTAACCGTTGTATTTGAAGTTTTAATGTGTCTTAAAAAATTGTCAAATGTTAATTCGAGTCTGTATACGTTGCTGTTGTCGAGAGTATCCATACTTTTTTCTCTCTCTTTTTCTAACTAATTGTAAATACCTATCTACTCCGTGATAACCACGGAATAAGAATAAATGGCCTGTAACTTAGGACTTTTAAGGCACTTTGCGCCCGCAACACCCCTATCTATGTTCGCGAGGCGAATATCACGCATCGCGATATTTATGGTTACGTTGCTGTTAACGCAAAGTAACAAGGTGCACTCTCTAAAGTATTTTTAAGATATTTTTCGGATAAAAATCTACATTTCTTGAGGAGCTGACTTTACCGTATTATACCACCGACGAATTGCTATGGATGAAGTACTACTTGCATACAATTTTTCATAGTTTTCGGAATGTTCGAGTTGCTGAATTTCCCTTGCGAGAAGGGACTTCAAGTGTTCCCTCTTATGAAAGCCACGCGGCAAACTCGACCGGAATTCGCGAATTGTGTTTGAGCAGTAAAGTTGATGGTGTACGTGAGACGTTAGCTAATAAAATTATTTGCTGTTATTATTCATAACGGTAGCAGACTATTTTGCATATGGAGTTCGAGCACGTATTATGACTTTGGTGCATTATTGTCGTTCCGAGTTCCACGATGTCATTCAAATTGCACAAACACTGTTCTAGTGTAACAATAATAAAGTCAGCGGGTATGATCGCTAGTTACATCAACGATAACGAGGTCACCAGTATTTTATTTTTAACGTTCAATTCATTTTTAAAAAATTCATCGAGTCTCGACCTAGTAATCGTAAATAAAATCATGTATCGATGCGCGAATATATTTTATTCGTTGAAACCGAGTTTTTTTCCGAACGCAGCTTCGAAATATGTATATTTTGTACATATCGAAATGCAAACGGAGAAGCAATTAGAGATTCGTTAATGATCGAACCGAGCTGTGTCCAATAATTCCGAAAAGCAGAGCAAACACCATGTTCGTGGGGACCATTTCGAAAAGCATTTCGCCAAAAAGAGACTTCGTTAAAGAAACGAAAAAAAAAAAGTAACGCCGGAAAGCTGCAATAAATCTAGTTCCGCGGTGGCGATGACTGTGCTGCTCGACAAATCGATTGGAAAAAAAAAAGTTTCGCTGTCCGTAACGAATAAAGCTCTCCATTCATCACGTTCGTCTTGTTAATCCACACGGTGATCGGTTAGGAATGAGCGGTCGCTCCTCGAGAAAGTCAATAGGTTGGGAAACACAAAAAATCAGGAACAGAAAGGCTTCGCTACTCGGGCAATTAGTTTTATTCGATCCTGATTGATTCCTCGACGTTGTGCTTCGTCAGCTTGCGTTTATTACGTCGATGGAACGCATAAGGTCCAGTGTTCTGTTAGTTGTAGCAGTTCGAGTGGAAAAATTGCACCTTACGTTAGTAGTTTTCTCAAGTTCATTTTAGCTGCATTGCCGTGACCCGCATTGGGCGAAGACCGACACGGTTCGCTCCTCGTTGCTTACAAATTCCCTCGTCGACGCGTTGGAAAAAAATACCGCGCGTCCAAGGCCTGAAAAATATCGTTACAAATGGATACGCGGTAACAGATTGTCCTTACGAACAACAATCATGACCGTCACTCGACGCGATGAAATAATAACCCAACTAGAAAAATGGTTTAGAATCAGCGGGTTCAGTGGCTCGCGGATGTCAATGGTTCGCGTGCAGTGTTTGTTTTTCCGAAGAATCAAAATTTTGGACTTACTTCATTTTTCCAGCACTAGTTGTTCCATGTACCGAATGGTGCGATTAAAATTGTAGCACTCTCTCGGGAACTAATCGTTTCGTTTTCCATTTTATTTATCGCTGAGTTATTGTGAACGGTAACGATTGTACACAAATCATTAATTTTTGAACATTGTTATTCTCGAATAAATGTTTCATTTATGTTTCTCGTATTTCACGTAGCTGTGCCGGAAACCTTCTTTTATATACAAAAATTAAGTTATAATTTTTCACGCACGAACTAAGTTTTTTTTTTAACAAATCTGCATCGACCTAGATACGTGGATTCACGCCTGAAAGCTGTGGAAAATATTTTCCTCGCGCCCTCTACATGATCGAATATGTACTTTTCATCCCCAGATCCCACGCACTCAATCGAAAAATGTTTTTCCACTCCCTTATCGCGGTGCGCAAAATTTCCAGCGTCGAATAATTGCAAGCACGGCGAGCATTTTCGACATCTGTACGATAAAAAGTAGCACGGCGTTAAAAATGAAACTCGACAGGGCAGCGCGAAAGGATCACGTTTTATTAATAGACAAACATTTTTCATTTCCGTTTATCGCGAGGCGGGCGTAATTTCCCGATTCGAATAATCGTTTCCGGCGTAATAAAAATTTTCCACCGTATCTTTCCGCGATAAAAATGAAACTCAACGCGCAACGCGAGGGGTAAAATTAGGATTCCCTTATAAATGCACGCGTTGATAACCGTGGCGATAAGCAGCGGTCGCGGCAAAGTCCAAGCTTTCATTTCTTCCCTCGTTTCTTTTGCGAGCTACCAGAAGGTCTACCAGAAGAGAAAAATGCGCAAAAAGCGAGGAAAACTGTGCAGAGGGTGGCTGGGAATTTTTTCGCGAGTGAAAGTGTATACCCGCAATTGAAAATTTTTGACCTCTCTTTCAACGCGCGGTTATTTCGGTCTCTTTCTGCGTTTTCGCATTGAATGCGCGAAACCTACGTTAGATGGTGCAAAAACTATTACAGCTGGTACTTCTGAAAAAAACTATGATAGTCGAGCGAAACTATGTACGCGTGGTAGTTACGCTGTGCAAATGGAGGCAACGTTGAAGGTACGGCGAGCGCGCATATTTTTATTTACCGAACGAAATTTCACTTTGAATTCTTCTTCTCTTCGTTCACGAATGTAGCAAAAACGTAAAAATTAAATGATTTCAGTTTTCGGTTGGTAAACACGAGACATTAGCCGACAAACGTTTAAGTTGGATGTTTGTTATAATTGGTACATCCAGAATTCAAAACAATTTGCTTTGCAGTCGTCCCCTCAGACTACAGTACGGGTTTAGCAGTCACGAAAACTAATTTTTTGCAAGGTGTCTGACGCGTCTCTTGTTCTGACGGCGAATGTCTGAAAGGTCGTTACAAAATTAATTAAAACACCTTCAACGTATCCTTTAAACAACGGAATTTAACCTCGTTACGTATTAAGCGTAATTCGAGCGTCTGGTAGAGCCATGTTTTTCACGCAAGTTTCCTTGAACGTCGCTTGGGGTAATTACTCAACTTCGGAGGTCTCGGTGACAAAATGCGTTTCGCGTGTCATCCTTTGAAACGTGTAATTACGAGGGGTGAATGAGACAGATCAGAGCGCCTGTTGGTCTTTTGCAGCGCGAAGATTTAAGATGTCAGACGATGAATTATTGCTAGAAATTGAACCGAATATAGGTATCTTATTCGTTTGGGGCACACCACGAGTCGGGTGAATAATTTAACCTGACGAGTAAGTGGGACATTACCAAGGGAAAACAATTTCTATCCGCGTGTAAGACAATCGGAGCAGCTATCGCACGAAACTTATTCAAAAGCTTGCAAGTATTGATCTTTTCCACTAAGTATTTCTTCGCAGATAGAGTATACTATGTTGAACTATGTATATCGATTCCCTGGAACCCTACGATCCTCGATCGAATTTCGCTCCTCGATCTCTGTGGTTACCGACGCGGCGCGGTTATCAAACGCTACCTGTCAACGAGTTTTCCCCTGGGACCTGGAACTGAAACGAATATCGCTATCTCATCCGTATAGTAGAACACATGTATCATCCGCGAAGCGCGCCTACGTTCTCCGTTGAGCCGCGACATCCCCAGATGACCGACGACGATAAGTAACCCTCCTTGCGAGACCATGCCACTTATTTTCTCGGAGTGTGCGACGAAACGAACGAGGCCACGCTGGGCGAGGGTGGAACAGAACGAGAAACAGAAAGACGCGGTAAAAAGCGTCTGACGAAAGAAGAGGGAGTCAGTTTAGAAGAAAGAACCGAGGTGGTAGCGAGGGCTGAGGGGGAAGCTTAAAAGAGAAGAAAAAGAGGCGCACCGATGTTTCCGTGCGAATGGAAACGGGCACGCAATAGAAAAGGCCGGGACTCTCCAATTTGCTGAGAGCTCTCCATCCACCAGGCTCTCTCTTCTTTCCTCTGTTCCTTCTTGCTCGCTACTTCAGCCACGTCCGTTCCTTTCCTTGTGTCTATTCACACTTCCTCTCCACCTATCTTATTACGCCTGTTTTCCTTCGTTCCGATCCTCCCCTCTCAACCCTTGCCGCGTTTCGCTTGCTCCCAAACTAAATACTCGACCGTTAATGGCAACGCTCGTCTCAAAGCCACCCGAAGAGACTGTTCCGTCGAACGTGATCCCTCGCGAGTTCATCTGAAGAGAGACCGGATTCGGGGTACATGGAAAGACTAGGTACGCGAGCAATCAGCTATCAAAACGTTGCTCTCGATGGACTCGGTGGATCTTGCCAATGGTTTTGCGTACTAGGCACGGTCGCGTTGCTATAGTTTGCTTTACTTGGACTGTTGCTGGATTAGGCGAGGATTAGCTGGAAGGGTAGTAGCTGGATTTGATCCGTAGCAGAGGACGAGTCGACTAAAAAGAGTATTCCGATTTTCTTGTTTCTAGGATACATTGCTCTAGATCGTATAAAAAGCTAAGTTCTCCAGGCACTGTGGCTGTTCTCGAAACGCAATCTATTGGCCTGTCACGGTCACTGAGAGGGTACCCCCGGCACTTGGTTCCTTCGTCGCTTTATCTCTTATCTCTTCGTTCCATGTTCGCTCCACCCCATCATTGTATTTCGAAGATAGAATGCGCTAACCTGCACGCTCTTTGTCTCCCAAAGAAAGAGACAGGTTGGCATGGTGTAAAAGTGCGGCTCGTGCCTTGCATGATTCACAGTTGGGGAAGCGACTTCGACAGGCCAATTTTTCTCGTCTCGAGCGCGAGTATTTTGTCTTTTTCAACCAAGGTTACCAAGAATCATATTTCATTCAAAAATCCTCGCTGTGATGTAAAATTTACTTGGACGCGTGACTATGAAAATCTGAACCTGAAACAAGGGTCAAGCGTATATATAAGCGTATTTATTTTCTATTCGACGACTCGCCGCGGTGCTTTACAGTTTCCATCGAAAGGTTAGCCTCCGTTTTATTAGATGTTATCCGGGTACGTGCTCGATCATTGCGGCAGCCCAGAAACAACGCTCTTTCGGGCGTTCATTTTAAACGCGACCCGCTCCAGAGCACGTACCTAAGGACGCGAAGAGGAAGTACCGTTCGGCAGACATTTCTGTAAAAGGCACTCAACTCTCCAGAAGTGAAGCACGTTAAGCGATGTTTCTTCACCGTCCTTCGGTAGCTCCCGGTTTCTCATCGAGAGCCCTTCAAATGGCACGCGCGAATTGGAAAATATTAAGCTTTACAATCGAGAGGTTGAACGGTTTAGCATCGGAGCGAATAAGTAAACTTTTTTCTGGCGTGATACGATTGCTAATAAATCTACTAAACATAGAATTATAATATTGTAGTATCCGCGCCTCCCAACAATAAGGAGTCAAATAAGAACACGAAACGTAGGCTAAGGGATTGGTCGCGTAGGTAAAGCGCTCGATTGTGGATCCGAGGATCGTGGCGTCGAATCTCCGTGCCTTATTTTTCGTTTAGACTCCTACAATATACAGGCTGTTTTGTACACGATAGATTCTCGGATAAACGAACAAACAGGTTCGTTTGGAGTTTAGTGTAAGAGGTAAACGGTTCAACCTGTGTGCGACAGTTTTAAGAACCAAAGAAAATTAACTCTCGTTATTCAAATCTCTTTCGTCGAAATCGCTTTTCTAAAAGTATCCTTATCTCATTCAACTCCTCCGCCGAGCCTCTCCCTCTCGGCTGGACGAGTTAATTTGTAAATCTTCGTTAAGTGTACGGTCCAACGGCTCCATTCGCGTCCCGGGTCTTTAGTCTGTTTGAAGCAACCTCGAAGACGATCGCTTCTTCCTTTTCAGCCAAGGAAATAGGGTTTGCTGTGATTCGGCGGTATCAATAGGCGGCAACTGCGAAGTTCATCCTTTGAGAATCCTTCAGTTCTCTTTAGAGACAGAACTCGAGCCGGTCAACCGATTCATTTCGAGAACTACTTGAGAGAAACGAACCAGTTGGTCCAAAGTTAGATGGCAGAGTCGAATTTTCGATTGGTAATGGTCATTTTACACGCTCTCGTGGTTGCGTTCTAACGTGTTCAGGTGAAATAGTAGTTTGGCACGTAGAGCCATTAAGTCGAAACGTGTAAGAACAAGTTCAAATTTTAAACATAAAATATCCAGCAAGTTTTTCGAATCATTGGTTAACTTCGGATGTTATTTCTTTTGCATGGGTGGCTGTCCTTACGGCCGATCCTTGTAATTTTCTTCAATTCTTTGTTGTACACAAATCGCTGTTTCACTTTGAAGTCAGACCAACGAATGCGCAAGAGAAAAGAGAACGCGC